TAACTCAAACTACACTTACCCTCGGCTTTAGGTTCAACTTCACGTACTAACTGCACCATCTTTTCTCCTCTAGACATCATATTTACTTATAAAACACAATTAGTATGTCTTAACGTCTTAAACATGTGCTAAGTAAATATTTTGAATACACAAATTTGAAATGTTAAAACTAGGTAAGTCGAGATACCCACTTCTTCCAAAACATTCGGGTGATATGGTGGTTGCACAAACGTGCTATCTTTAGTTACCTACTTACAACATTTAAAGAAAGCTGCTCGATATTTTTACCTACTTTTTACATTGTCCAGTAGATGGCTCTTACCTATTATATTAAGGTACCTACTTTTTGTACTGAACGCTAGATGGTATTTGAAATAATATTGTATACATATCTCAAAATATGAAAATTTTGAGATACCTAGTTCTTACATTCAGGTGACGATATATATATATATATATATATATATATATATATATATATATAAATTAAATATCGTAAATTAGTAAATAACACTATTATTCACTTTTATTCACAAAATGTCCCAATATAACAAAGTTACTTCTTTAATCTTATAAATATAACTTATAAATTACTTCTTTAATCGCCATTTAAGCTCATTCTAGGTTTCTAAACATTTTGATTACCTTCCTTTCTCCGATATTTAATATTATCTCAATATACCAAATTTTTTTGCCAAATTGTCGAAAAAGGGACTTTTTATTTTATGTATTTGTACACGACAGTATTTAAGTGCGTCCTCCACCGATAAATTTAACGTATGAGCAAAACAATTTAAATGTTTTCATTCCAAAATATCTTTAATAGCTTTGACCATATTTGAAACATTATTAGTTACTGCAAAATTTACTTTTCGTTTTAGACCCCACTGATTAATAATTTCAGCAATTTCAGAAGCGATGTTTTCTGAATTATGGTTTCCCGAAAAATGGCAGCAGCCTAATAAAACCGTTTTAAATTCTAAATTTTCGGTTAAATATTGTCCTGTTAATGCGATGTAACTCTCAGTTACTCCAGATGTCCAGAGGTCAGTAGTAATACAGACATTATCTACTTCTTTAACAAATTGTGATATAATAATTTGCTCAGTTTTGATATTTGATATAAACATTCCTGAAGTAAGGAACCTGACAAAGTTTTTCTTGTTGGCGGTTTATATCCAGGAATCCACCCTGCAAACTTTTTAAAAGCTCACTCTTCAACTATGGAAAACGGATGAAACAAATCTTTGCATAAGTTTAGTAAATCTTGAAAATCAACCAGTAGAAGGAAAAGAAACTGAAAAAGATGACTTAAGTCCATGGTGTATTTTTGTTGAATTAATTGGACATGACTCATCTAAACATACACCTGTATCGAGAAATATAAAAGAAGTCGACATGTATTTGTCTGATGATATATTACCTACAAAAAATTTCTAACGGAGATTGAAACTATCCATTACCGTGGTGAAAAAACCATCGCCATGTATATTCTAACTTAACCACTATATTCATAAAATATTGTAGTATTGTAACAAAATCTGTTCCTTGTGAACACATGTTCAAAATCTGGTTTAATTTTAAATAAAAGAAGAACACGGTTAACAAGAAAAGTGGAAAAACTTATGTGTTTAAATGTCAATTTTGACGATTCGCGATTTAATAATGTGTAATGTAAATGTAAGTACTATTTGTATTGTTTAATTTATTTTTCAAGTTATAATAAATATATCCTTCGTTAGTTTCTTTCACTTCAATACTTATACACATAAACGATAATAGCCAATATGTTTGTGTACTCGCTAATTTGAATGCTGGTAAACAATCAACTAGTTACAGTTTACGAAAAACGGTTCCGATAAAAATTAAAAAAACTAGAGGACCCACCTCTAGTAACTAAGAAACGGTTTCTTAGCTATATTAGGATCGGAACCAGAGAATATGTAAAATATCTCTGATCAGAACTAATCGTCTCACTAATGGCAATGGGTGTGAATAAGACTTATGGAGGGGAGACCAAGGGCAAATATGATTGTTATCTTTGTCTATTCGCTGAAAATATGATTTTGTGTTGGATATCCTGTTAAATTTTTACCATACCGACCATAAACTTTTACCTACACTGTATATACATATATATATATATATATATATATATATATATTATATATATATATTATATATATATATGTATAATATATATTGTATAATATAAAGGTACTGTAATTTCTTAGTTATTTGTTAAGACACTTTTCTGCTGAATAATATTGTCTTTCAGATAGATAGGCTTTTCTCCTTTTATGGAAATTAATCAATAAAGTTGCAGATTTAAGTTGCAAAGAGAGATGGTTTTATAATTTTTTGTCGAAAATAATATAGATTTCTTCACTAACTCATTGGACGGGATCGATAAATACACATCAAATATTGAATTTCTGGCGGAGTAATCATGATTAGGTCTCGCTGGAAAAACATGTAGGTGTTTACTAATTAAGCTTCCTAAAATACATAAAGAGGGAAAAGTTAAAATAGCGTGATTTTATAAATGTGTTATTCTAATAAGGCCAAAAAGATACCATATTGCTCTTTTTGGTAATTTAAAAATAACGTCAGATTGGGCAGTTGTACTAGAACCCCAAAAAGAAAGGCCATATCGAAGATGAGACTCGAACAAAAAAAGTATGTTATTTTGGAAGATGCTAAATTCATTTCTTTCGAAATGCTTCGAAACAGATCTTATTGCATAGCAGGCTGAGGCTAGTTTCTTACTTAACAAATCGATATGAAAAGACCATTTAAGGTTGCTGTCTATAAAAATACATAAAGATATTTTACAGAATCTATTATACTGATCTGGCTCTAATTAAGAAGCAAGGGTTGAAGAGGTCCTTTATAAGATAATGCTACTGTCTTATCCACGATAAAAGAGAGTAAATTATACTCGGGCCAGGTATTTATTTTAAGTAGGTAGGGCCAGGTATCACATAATGATTTTGTGACTAGAGTCAGTATCATTTGCTCGAACTAGTTGTTTCCTATTCATCAAGTAAGATTGGAACCAATTCAAACAAATACCTCGAGTTCCGTAGAAATTTAGTTTTTTATCAAAATGTCATGATTTACACAATCCAAAGCTTGCATAGTCACAGAAAACAGTGGCAGTGTAAAGATTATTGTTTAGTGCTTAATAGATCTAACGTAGTACAGAAAACAGATTCACTGGTACATTCATTATATAAAAAGCCGAATTGACTTTGTGATAAAATCTTGTTTTCAACGAGAAAAGACATAAGTCGGGTTTTTATAAGTCTCTTAATAATTTTGGATAGGACCGGTAGTAAAGCAAAAGGTCTATAGTTACAGACATTCGATTTTTCACCACCCTTATGAAGAGGAATAATAATGGCTGTATTTAGGCACTCTGGAAATATACCTTTTTTAAAGGAATCACTAATTAGTTGAGACCAACACATTTTTTGGAAGATTTAAGAAAATTTTTATGGCTTGTCCATCAGTAATACAGGAAGATTTGCTTTTGATACTGCTAATTGTTTGGATCAGTTCAGATTTATCAACTGGTCTTATAAAGAATAAATTCGAGACCTTTTTTTAATTCTGGAGATAGGAAATAAGATCTTGTTGTGGCCAAATTATTTATGTTATATTTTTACTCACATTAACAAAGTATTTATTTAGATTTTTAGGGTTTGGAAGGGAAAATGTTTGAGCTGTGTTAGTTTTATTTCTAAGATCGTTTATTATAGACCAAGTTTCTTTTGCACCATTTGTAGAGCTTTTCAGACAATTTTGATAGTTCATTTTAGTTGTTTTGGATATGTTTCTCTGTACTGGAATTCTAAATACTGAACTGGGAGGACAAAAGAATCATCATCGAAGGAGAATACCACTTTGAAATAGTCTTCGATTTGTGGATGCCATAGTGTTGATAGCGGATAACAACTAAAGAAGCTAAAGACATGCTGGAAGAAATTATTGCCGCAATAGAAAAAGCAGGATTAAAAATTAATGAAAGCAAATAAAATGTGACGACCAACCTTGTACTCAGCAATAACATCAAAATTGGGCCAAAAGGAATTGAGCTCACAAATTTACATGTTTGGGACATATAGTGAAAATCACAACAGATACATTATCAGACATGTGAGTTGTTGCAGTTCCGCAACTTATAAATAAATATGAATTAAATATTAAATTGGAATTATTTCTAGGTCGTACCGACAACTCGATCGAAATGCTGGCAGTACGAATTAAATAAGCATAAATCACCATTTGTTGCATGAATTAAACGACTTTAGCGTTAATGTTAGCCTCCACCCATATTTCCAGATATCAATGCTTCCAACACTTCTTAACTCACCACTTTTGGTTCCTGCCTGTTCAAGAGTACGTCGATTGCGCTCTTGCCAGCGCCGGTACTACTACCAACTCTATCTGGCAAAGTACACTTTTATACACCACTACATTGAAGCTGATACACATGTACGTTTATTGTGTAAAATTGTTACATTATTATCGATTTATAGTATCATCTTTATAATGTTGTATATTAATTACTATTAAACTGGGAATAAGCCACAATTAAAGATAAAAATACGTTTATTGACGTTTCAATTTCCACTTCGGAAATCGTTCTCAAAATACAAACCTTCAGAACAATGTTGTATATGATAAAAAATATTCTATTGTATTTCTTTTGTGTCTTATCGTAACATACTTCCGTCATGATTCACCCGTAGATAAGCGGGGTTATCTTTAATACAGATCTATAGTTCGTTTTGTATTGGTTTCGTATATCTATTTTGGGAATAATTTATTCATATCACTTGCTATAAATATAGGTTACTTATAGTCTACCTATTTATTTTCTTTGTATATCTTAATATACATATTCAATTTAATGAGAAACCAGCGTACGTATTCTAGACTGAACGTACTTATCTAGACTCCTTTTCTGATGTCCTCACATATTGTATAAAGGTTATCGTATATGTAGAAAGTAACATGAGTTACATACAAGAATATAGTTAATCTGGGCCTTCATGAAGATACCAAGAAGTTTCAATAGAACGTGGAATTAGACAGGGTGATACTGTATCCCCTAAATTGTTTACAGCAGTTCTTGAATATATGTTCAAGCAAATGAAAAGAAAGCATCATATGAGAATTAATATAAATGGGGAAGATCTCAACCACCTAAGACTTGCCGATGGCGTCGTTTTAATATCTGATAGATTTGATAAAGCTACAAAAATGCTGCACACGCTCTATAAAGTGTCAAAAACAATTGGTCTTAAAATTAACACCTCAAAGACAAAATTTATGACCAACCTTGAAGTCAGCGGTAAAATTCTGATTGAGAGCCATAGCATCGACCAAATAATAGCTTACAAATATCTAGGCCATGAGATTCGCTCAGGCCGAGATAATCATGTGATGTCCTCTCGTAGGAGTCACTATCCGGGTAGCTTTTGGACAGTCAGAGACAGAGTTCAAAATAAAAATAAAACTTTATTGTCTTCCTTAAATTAAATTGACAAAAATCTTATGTTCATATTTACAATTTGGTTTAGTCTTCTCAGTACCTGGCCTATTTATTCAAATTAAGTTTGACCTTGTCATATGAAATTAGTCTTATCGGCAAGCGAGTGTGTATTTGAAGTTTTACGAGAACGTTGTATCGATTTAATAACAGCGGACGATAGGTACAAAGAAAGGAAAGAAACTCAACACGTTCCTTAAGTGATTCGGGTTAATAGGACACTCCTCGACAGTCTCAACACGACTGCTTCAGAGTACGGGTAATGAAGAGCTCAACACGCTCTTCGGGTAACGGCGGTATGGAACGGAACAACTTGTGAACTCAACACGTCCACAAGCCGGGGTAGGGAAGAAGAGAACCTTCAGTCAACACCTGTCGATTCTGCCTCTATGAGGAAATGATGCGGTTTATATAGCGGAGCTTGGTAATTAGTTTTGCCCTTTCTACTGTCGATACACTCCTACTTCATGGGTTGGTTCGCGCGCACGCTGGTTTAACGGTGATGGCTTGGACTCATCGTTACAATCAGACAACTAAAATACAAAGAAGGATAGGTCTCACATGGGCTGCCTTTGGTAGATTGAATAGCATTTTCAAGTCTAGTATCCCCGTTTTTCTAAAAAGAAAGGTTTTTAACCAGGACGTTTTACCGGTTCTTACATATGGTGCAGAAACACTGACTCTGATAAAAACAACAATAGATAAAATAAGGCTTACACAACGCGCTATGGAAAGATCAATAATAGGTATTACTATCAGAGATAAAGTACCAAACATAGAAATAAGAAGAAGAACAGGAATCACAGATGCAGATGAAAAAATAGCCATGGCTAAATGGGCTTGTTGCCAGAGTAACGGATGATAGATGGATCAGAAAGATTCTGGAATGGCGACCAAGGCAAGATGCATATCGAAGCAGAGGAGACCACCGACTAGATAGACGGATGATATCAAGCGAATCAGCACAAACTGTATGCAAGAAGCTCAAAAAGAAATAGGTGGAAAATTTTACGGGAGGCCTACGTTCAGCAGTGGAGAAATATAGGCTAATTCATGCTGGGCTACCTATGGCAAATTAAGATACAATTTTAAATCGAAAGGGTATGAAACGAGGAGATACATACAAAGTGAAAGGTAGATGATATTCTCGAAAGCATTTGCACTACAAGGCTTAACTGTAGATAGGGATAGAATGGAGGTAAGGAGTGATAAACGCAACCACGACACAGCTCCCACCCGCTGGTCAGATGACATTAAAAGCATCTCGACGAATTTGGTTGCAACAGCACAAGATACAATTAATCGGTACACTCTTTTTTGGTATTGTTGGAAGTCGGAAGATGGAAGTTGAAAGTTTTGGTTGGAAGCCATTAATCTCAGTGTAGACAAGTTTTGATTACTTCTATATCTTTAGAACTCGATCGTTTGGCAACCGTTGAGCAAAATTATGAGGCAATGCTATCATTGGAGAAACAATTAATCGTCCGTGCCAGTTGCCCCCTCTCATTTTCTCCCCCTTGAAGAAAAATTTAAACTGTAATTTAGTATGATATTTTGTAAGTTTCGTTATATTTCTTTAACCCCTAAAGTACTCTATCTCTAAAATAGCGACGTTGTTGTTTTGTTGAAATATCCAGTTGCAAGCGAAATAACAGAACAAACATCAGCCGGTTAGTTTGCCCATTAGATTTTGTGTAGCAGTTGCAGTTATTATATATGTCTCTAGATAATAAGGGTAAATGCATAGTTTATTGGTAGAAAAGATAAACAGACAAAGCGTAAATTCAAACACCGTGTGCTTCTGTCTTCCAATTAACAATCAGCTAATTTGGAATCAAGCGATGAAACTGCTAGGGAACGCGCAACTTTTGTTGCAGTGTAAGAGAAACGGCAATAAAATACCAGATATCCCGAACCTTAATTTAAAATGTCTAGTTAGATCGTTGAATAATAGTTTTTAACTATTTTCTTTTGTTCAAGCTAGACTTTTACTATCTCTTTCTCTCCCTAAGGAATTCCAGCAGGTTATACCTATCAATTTCACCGCTATTCTTTGAAAGTTCTTTGCAAAGACGTTTAAGAAAGGTCAAGTGGGCTTTAAAACCATTTTAGTTCGGAATCTACACGGTTTCTGTTAAAATTAACTCTTTGAAACGTTTCATTGTTAGGCATATACGGAGTTAGTCATGAAGCATTAGCTAATCTATAGACGTATGTTGAAAATCAAAAATAGTAATCTAGTAATAGAATGAAAATGACGGTTCAATTTATATTCAGTATTTATTTACAATTTTCACTTGCACAATTGTTTCTCATAAAAACTTTACTCGAGATTTTTTCTACATACGACGATCCTAATTTACTTCTGAATTAAATTGGGAATATAGAATGACTGAAAAAGAAGAATTTCTTGTTTTAGACTTTTTCAAGCCTCATCAAAGAATGGGATATCTAATTGGATTGTGCTGGGGAAATGATTGGTAAACGCATGATGGCAAGGTGGTAGTTTCTGGAGATGACGGCAGACGATTTTCTATTGTCTTATAATTGGAATATAGCATAAAGAAGACGATTCTTTCAGATTTTTTGGTCTTCTTAGTAAACTGAGGTCGCTGTGTGATCTAGGATAGTCGTCGTGCAATTCAATTTGAAATCCATATAAAACCAATCTAACCTTGCCCTTAGTATTATTAATTACTCCTAAGGAATGGTTTCGAGGGTATCTACCCTTCAGGGAGTTTGTTGCCAACGGAAATTGGCGAAGTATATTGGAAGAAGTTTAAAGACTAAGAGGATGTCCCTAGGGAAAACCTGATTATGGACGTTTAGAGTTCTGTTTAGCGCAATACTGATCTAAAGTGTGTGTCTTGCTTAGGAATCGGTATCATCATTGGTATAACAACTCGTTATGAGCTAAAGCCTTCTTCAGTAAAAATCCTCCATCTGCTTCTGTCTCTGGCAACTCTTCTCCATGCTCTAATTTAATAGGTTTTGAAAATCATCCTCTACGTTGTATTGATACCTAAATCTCGTTCTTCCTCTGGTTCGTTATCCCATTGGCCCTCTTCGATTAAAAACTTTGTAACTGTTGCACCTTCCTCTCAGCTGATTACATGCACTATTCATTTAAAGCGTGCTAGCGTGTATCAGGTTCCTCAAAACTTGTATATATACAAGTCAAAGTTATATCGTCTGCGCCACAAACCTTGCTCTTTTATTTTCCCATATATTCTTCTTAGGATTTTTGGCTCGAAACGTTTAAGCAGTTCTTCTTATTAGTGTTTTATAGTTGGCTACTTTAAACTTTTATGTGTAGTTTTAAGATCACCTGTCTTCTCAAGACATACTAACCCTTATTGCCAAGCACCATTCTTCTTTTAATTTTCCTGCCGACATTGTTATATTTAGTCAATAGCGAGCCTAGCTATATGAAGGTGTCCATAAATTCCAGTTGTAAATCGTCAATTGTTATTCTTCTATCTCTGTCTGTCTGCTAGCTCAAACTTATTGTCTTTTAGCTTTTATTAGTCCTGTACGAGACGCCTTTAACGACCGGAATGTTTCGGCTATAGACTCTGTGGACCTAGTTATGATGTCGATTGTCATCTGCATATCCGATAACTTGTACATATTTGTAAAAGATATTGCCATTCGTATTAATCTAGGACTCTCTGGGAAATACTTTATATATATATATATATATATATATTATATATATATATATATATATTTATATATATATATATATATATATATATATATATTTATATATATATATATATCCATATAAAGGAGTACGACCGTCAAACAATTATTCCATGCAGTAAGTTTCAAAAGAAAAAAACGAAGAAATAATACAAGGAAATGGTAGGTAATATTATACAAAAACATGAAAAATTAACCTACGAATGTAGAGTGAAGAATAAAAGGTGTTAAACAAACACACCATTCCCTTTGGTAACTGTGGTCAAAACATTAAATTGTTGGTAAAATTGTAGCTTGAAAGTTTCTGTGTAGTAGCATTGGTGTTTTTCAAAGCGAAAAAGTTTGATTTACAAATAAACGACAGAATAAAAAACTACTACCAAGCTTACTAAAAAACTCGTCAACACTACACGTAAAAAACTAACTTACAACAGTCAAATGTAGAAATAAAATAACAAAGTGACTAAAACGCACTGGCACAGAGCTGAATTGTTATAACAAACAAATTTTGGACTTCACTTTAGGGCGCATTTCCATCTAACGGATTCAAACTCGAAAAACGAAAGTCAAATTGCCGGCATTTTCATTGCAATAGAATGTGTGGATTTATTAGTTCTGAGTTGATCCAACTTTCTGTGGGAGAATGAGACGAGCAGGCGCAATACACAGAAACGAAAATGTAACAACGCAGAGAACACTGAAGCAAATAGATTGTTAAGTAGAAATGTCTACAAAACCAATACGTAGTGAAGATAGATTGGAATCGGGAGTTTAGAATGACGACATTCCTCTGCAGGAGGTGTACTGTTTCGTGGGAGTGTAGAGGTGGATAAAATCCTAAATTTGTGTGATTTTTGTGTCAATATTCTAATTTCACTATCGAAGACTATGTACTGAGAAGTATGTTTATTGGGACCGGAAAATATGGGTTTCCTAGACGGATAAACTGGAGATGTTTACAAGTCCGATGTCTCGTTCCGATCTGTGTTTTTCAGTATAAATAGGGATACAAATTCGTACCTAAAAATTCTCATACCAATTGCGATACCAAATTGCGTATACAATTCTTCAGAAATTTGATATTCTAAAGATTTTTCTTTGCTTTCTAAGCAGTTAACAATAACTGATTTTTTTTGAATTTAAGAACAGATTACAATGTGTTAACCAGATTGACAATGAAAATTTACTCAATAGAAGAAAAATAATATACTGTAATATTTTTAAAAAATAAGTAACTAGAATATAATAATTAAATAAGATGATATTTTAATACAGTAATGAGAGCATTAAATGTAAAATATGTAAATAAATACTAAATACTTTCCCAAACAGTCAGGTTGACCATATTCTGTGTGAATAAAAAACAATGGTCTGTTTTATGTTATATGTTTTAAGTAACATATTAGAAATATATATATATATATATATATATATATATATATATATATATTTATATATATTATATATATATATATATTATATATATATATATATATATATATATATATATTTTATATATATATATATATATATTATATATATATATATATATATATATAAGAAAAAAGAAGTACTTGTGACTCGTTTGGAAAAAATATAACACTGTTTTTGATGGGTTGGAGTCAATAAAAGGGGCTATTTGTTGACTATTTTTTACTCGAGCTTTCAATTGTGATTACAATTTTTTATCAAGAGCTTCTAAAAAATACAAAATGTCTTACAAAGTTCAACTAGAAATAAAAAATTTTTTGTTAACTCACCAAATAAAATTAGTTTTTTATATAAAACTACTGCTTACATATTAAATACAAAAAATATTAATAAAAAAATGTCTTATTCTAATAAATGTTTCTCTGAAAAATTTAGATGAAGTTTCTTAAGAAAAAAAATTGAATTTATAAACAAAAATAGAATAGCTACAACCAACCTAAATGTCATAAATACTAACTTAAAAATTTTTATTTTTGACATATTGTCAAAAATAAAATTTTGTTTAAAAAATTCTTCTTTGTTTAGTAACAAAAAGAAGAAGATTTATTCACCATTGATAGATGCCCGAAAAAATGTAACAAATATATGGAAAATTCAAAATGTGATATTTTACTGACTGCATAAATTAAATAGAAATTATATAATTATAAATTTTGCTTAAATTTT